TGTTTCTTTTCGGTGGATGGTGTAAGATTTTGTGTTTGCTTGTCTGTTACTCAATTAAAAAACTAATCATATTTTTGCTGCTCACCTAGCCAATGTGGTTTTAATCTGCTACTTTCTACTTACTGTCAAGTACATTTTGACCAAACAAGAGCACCAGATTCAAGAGCTGGAACAGCGTCACCGTCAGTTGATGCAAATATCCGAAAATCATCCATCCAGCGCCAAATATCTCTACATTAATTACCGTTTTGCTAAAACGCAAAAGGCAATATCTTCTATCTTCCTGGAGATTTCCACCTACAATAGTTTCTGGAGTCGAATTGTCTCTAATTACTTTCTAATCTACATCATTCAGATTGTCTACCTTGCCTACTCCTTCTTCCTCGTCACTACCAATATTGAATTTCATCAACGACAGTTCTTTATCTTCTTTGCCGTCAACTTTATTGCCACTCTGACCTACGTCACCTTTCAATGTAATCTAGTTGTGCAGAATAATGTGACCATTTTTAAACGAAGTCGACAATTCTACAGTACACTTTCAGAAAAGTGGAACTCGCCATATCTCAACCGACTACAGGTAAAAGCTGTTTTAGCGTTCTTTTTTGAAAACAATTTTGCATCTTATAACAGATTGACGGCTTTGAAGCAAACCAGAAGTCTTATTCGTTGAATGGCTTCAAACTAGTCAACAATTACCGGATCAACTCGCAAATGTTTGAGCTGGTGAGCAGTTATTTTATCGTTGAGTATATTTTGCGTATTGAAACTCTTTTCTAGCTCTTTTCCCACATCAGCACTCTGTTCATGATGANGAAGTGGAACTCGCCATATCTCAACCGACTACAGGTAAAAGCTGTTTTAGCGTTCTTTTTGAAAACAATTTTGCATCTTATAACAGATTGACGGCTTTGAAGCAAACCCGAAGTCTTATTCGTTGAATGGCTTCAAACTAGTCAACAATTACCGGATCAACTCGCAAATGTTTGAGCTGGTGAGCAGTTATTTTGTCGTTGAGTATATTTTGCTTACTGAAACTCTTTTCTAGCTCTTTTCCCACATCAGCACTCTGTTCATGATGACCATCCGCCAGAAGTATTCGCAGTGGTGACGTAAATGAACTTTTAAAAAATCAGTTATACTAGAAATAGATAGAACCAGTATTAAAAGTCTGATCAATTAAATGACTGAGTCTTGTGTCGACAGTCGTGCCGTCTCCGAGGTTATTATGTAAACACAATAATTTTATGACCACAATGCAGCAGTTGTACGGTTAAACTACTTAAAATGTCGTTTCTTTTGCCTACATTTTGTTTGCCTGCACCTGAGTCAGCTCCGGAAACGAGGCAGCTGCGGACACTGCTCTTTCATCTTCTGCTTCTCCCTCTCTTTGTGCATTGCAGATGCCGATGATCATCTTCTGCAACCTTCTAATCAGCCTAATCAGTGAAAAAGCGGAAAAAGGGGATGGTCAGCGAACTGAGGGGCTGCTGGTGCGACTGCAATCTCTAGCTATCCACTAACTCCTTAGCAACTACCAGCTCAAATACTGCTTTTGCAACCTTTTGCTGGTATAGTGTGTGTGTGTAATCAGCAAGTGTCTCAGTGTAATCACCCATCTACCGGTGGTGCTGTCTTGGCGACAACTCATATACTCCACAGTCATTTTAGTCAGTCAGTCTGATGGCAGTCAGAGACTCCTAACATCTAACTCGTAGCTACAGGCGTGAAACAAGGTCGCAAGTAGAAACACACACAAGTCTCTGGCTGTTGCACACTCGTCTTTCAGATTAGCTCAGATTCTCAATCCCTGTTTCTTTACTTCCAGTGATTTTTCTCCTGTACTCAATTTCTTTATCAACACATTTTTGCAGCATTTTTCTGCTTAAACACAAAACACATTTCAGCACAATTCACCCACTATCATAAAAAAGCACTAATCCCTAATCATGCTCAAATCAGCCATGAAGAGCAGCTCATCACCATTGTCATCCCCATCATCCTCATCACTGCTTCACTCAAACGGTGGTTACCTGAGGATTAGCACTGTCGTCACTGTGGTCACTCTTCTCTTCTTCACCTTCTGCTTTCTGCTGACGCCAGCTTCTGCCCAGGTCGGCAACCGCCCAGCCGGTCCGGCCAGTCGCAAGTACGCCCTTTCTAATCGGTGCACCAGTGCCGACCGGGAGGCGATCAACCGCTGTGAGGATGAATCCCGACGAGACTGGGACGTTCGGGACACTGACTACGTAATTAAATTCTATTATTGCCCTTAAACCCTTTGGCTAACCTGTTGCTCTCTCTCTCTCTCTCTCTCTCTCTCTCTCTCTCGCAGTACACGCCCACTCGAAAGTTCTGCTGTTTTGCCTGGGACACTCTTTCTTGCGAGCTGCGCATCGCCCAGCGCTGTGACCCAAACTACGCTGCCGAGCTGTCATACTTGACCGAGCAGAGCTACTCCTCCTTCTGTGAGTACCACAGCCGCCGCTCTGCCAGCTGTGCCCTTCGCTGGTGGTCGGTGATGCTCATCGTCATCGCCCTCATCGCCATCATCGCCGTCGTCCTCTTTGTCGTCTACCGAAAACGGCAGAGCAAGTTCACCTACGACTACGAGACGGTCACGAGAAAGTAGTTGGTAGTAGGTCAGGCAGATAAATCCCAATCCACGTTCTATTTTGATTGACACAACAGCCAAATTTGATACCAGGAAAAAATCTTTGTTCACGCACTCATTCATTCATTAGTATTTTAGTTCTTGTTGATAAGTTTTCTTTGTATTTATAGTTGCATTTTTTAAATTTTCGCAAGTTTGTAGTGCTTCACTTTCCGATCTATTAAACCTCTTCAATATCATCCTATGGCTAATTTATCACAGTTGTAGAAGTGGTGGTGGTAAAGAGCCGTTGTGCTGCCTCGTTATACAATGGTGCCTGGACGACCACTGTCCTCAAATGAGGCTGTCCTCTTCAGTCAAAAGCATTTGTTGACATTGCTCACCGTGGTCACACCGAAATAGAAATGTCTGTCTCTGGGAGACGCACTCGGTTAACTCGCAATCACAGCTGCTAAAGCTGAAGCTATTGTGTCGCTGTACAGCACTCACTCACTACAGAGGTGACACTTCACCTGATTTAGTCTCTGATTTAGACGTGTTTAGAGGTATTTGGTTAAAATAACCGTGATGCATTGCACTCTGCCAGAGGTGACATGCATCCCACTGTTGCTGGTGATCAGTACCGCTCTGCATTGTTGCATTGCCTCTGCTGCATCCGACTTCTTTGGAGCAGTCAGTGGCTCTCAGCTGGAGGACATCCTCATCAATCCCGGACTGCTGTACACTGCCCGAGACCAGTATGTCTATCCACTACCGGACAACCGGTGCTCTATTCAAGAACGAATTCGCCTCTCCTCCTGTGAAGTGGAGGCTCGACAGGAGTGGAATCTTCAGGACACTGATTTTGTAAGTGGTTTGAAAAGAGCTCATTTTCGTTTTATTAAATCTTCCCTTTTGCAGTACACTGAATCGCGCAAGTTTTGCTGCTACGTCTGGGACCGCCTGCGCTGTCAACTGAAAATTCTGCAGTACTGTGACCCTCAGTACGCCAATGAACTGTCCAACCTCTCCGACCGACTGTACGGAGACATGTGCGAAAGCCACAGTCGAGGCTCTGCCAGCTGTGCCCTGCGATGGTGGTCCATCACACTGATCGTCATCGCCGGCCTCCTGGTCATCGCCCTTATCGCCGTGGCTCTTTTCTGCTGTGTCCAGAAAAGAAGAAGGAGAAGGAAAGACGTCTCCGGTGGACCAGGTCGACGAAACTCCTCATCCTCTTCAGCGGCTGACCGCAGTCGGACGGGCAGCTACACAGTGAACATGTGACGATGGTTTGTTTGCACTGAACGCTTCAACGAAAGTTCAAACATCATAAATTGATAAATCAAGTTAGTTGTTGACAAACAGCACAGTATGCATCATAAGAAAGGACTAAATTAAAGTACAAAACTGCTACCACTGCTGCTAATGCTGCCACCATGTACGACGACCGATGTAATAAATTCGCACTCTGCGGCGTTCAAAATTTGCACCTCAGCAGACGGTGCCTTCTGTGCCTTCTGTGCCTCTATCTCTTTCTCAGCTTTGTATTTGCCTAACTCGACCAATGGTGCAATCACTACGCAAAGCCTACCCAATTGTCCAATGTTGAAGGACGTTTCGTGCCACTGCAGAAGCGGCAGTATAAAGTGCACAGCACATTTGAGTAGCAGCGACAGACAGATCAGCTGCGGCGGCTGACAGAAGAGCTGGTGGAATTTGAGCAGCATCACAACAACCAAATTGAGTAAACTTTCATTTGCAAACACACAAACAAACAAGCACCATCATGGAATATAGCAGCTGGATTCTGGTGCTGGGCACTCTGGGCACTGCACTATACTTGTAAATAGCTTACCTTGATGACACTGTTTTAGTTGTTTACAAAAGATTCACTTTTTTCACTTCTACAGCTACCTGAAACACAAGTACAGCTTCTGGGATCGACAGGGAGTGCCCACCCAGCCAACCACCTGGCTGTTGGGAAATATGCAAAGTTTCACCGCCAACTTTTACACCGAACCTACAAAATGGGTCAATGAGTACGGTAAAGTCTACGGGGCGTACCTTTTCATGCGACCGACTCTGTCTGTGGCAGATCCTCAGCTGGTGAAGCAGATGTTCATTAAGGCAAAACTCAGTCAAACTTTTTAATTTTACATGTCTCTAATAGTTACTATGCAAACAGGATTTTCACCACTTCACAAACAGATTCACTGTGGAGGGCATGCACGAGCTGTGGAATAAGAACCTGTTCTCCTCCAATGACGACAACTGGAAGAGGCTGAGAATGATCACCAGGTATTTCAGCAGAGATCTTCCATATATGGTAGAAATGATCAATATTTACCCATTCTCTTTCAGTCCATCTTTCTCGTCAGGAAAACTAAAAGGAATGAACGGAGTTATGCGACTATCAGTGGACAAGCTGAATAAGTTCTTCGATAAAATCGCCGCATCCACTCCTAATGTCATTGATGCAAAGAACACCTTTGCAGCGTGTAAATAAGTTTAAAAATGGTTTTCATTTTATTTCTAATCAAAACCTTCCTTTTTTGCAGTTACCACCGATGTAATTGCAAGTACCTCATTCGCCACTGAAACAAACGCCAATGAGGACCCGAACAACCCTTTTGTGGCCAATGGAAAGGAGTTCTTCAACACTAATGTTTTCAAGTCGCTGCTCATTATCCTTCTACCAAAGTTCATGCGAGACCTGCTCGGCCTTGATTCCTTCTTTGCCGACAAACCGTTCAAATTTTTTATTGAAGTTGCAAAGCACATTGTCGAGCAACGTAAGAGCGGTGCCATGGGACCAAGAAACGACCTTGTTCAGCTGCTCATGGACGCCCGAGTTGACCAGAAGGACATTGAGGAGATGAACTACGAGAAGATGACTGTGGATGAAAATGAGCTGAATAATAACGGTACAGCCGAAGTGACTAGCAACAAAAAGGAAAACAGCTCAACGAAGAAGCGACTGGATGACAGTGAGATCATTGCCAACTGCATTTTCTTCTTTGTTGCAGGTACATTGAGTGACAACACTACTACGTAATCACTGATTAAACTTTTAATTGCTTTTTTCTACTGTAAGGCTACGAGACTACTGCTAGGTAATGTGTCAACTTGTAAGGAAGTTTTCAAAAAGCTAAAATGACTTTTATCTTTTGCAGCACACTGACGCACTTCATGTTCGAGCTGGCCCAAAACCAGGACATTCAGGAGCGACTGTACCAAGAGGTGGAGGGCGCACTGTCACAGTTTGACAATGAACACTCTGAGGAGTACTTTGAGGTGGTCATGAGCGGCATTCCCTACCTGGAGGCGACCATCAAGGAGACGCTGCGCAAGTACCCGCCCCTGTCAGTGGTGGGCCGAGTATGCGAGGCGGACAACTACAAACTGGGACCGGCGACGCTGCCCAAGGGCGCACTGATCAATGTGATGATCAATGCGATTCACCTCAATCCGGAGTACTACCCAAGCCCCCACCAGTTCAACCCTGACCGCTTCATGCCGGAGAATAAGCACCAGCTGGTGCCTTACACCTACCTTCCCTTTTCAATTGGGCCGAGAAACTGTAAGCTGGAGTTCTAAAATTAATTGAATTTAAGCTAAAATTTTTACTTTTTGAAGGCATTGCCATGCGCTTCGCCTACCAGGAACTTCGACTGTGCATCGCCTCCATTGTGCGCAAGTTCAAGTTTGAAGTTACCCCAGACACACCAAAGGAACTGAAGTTCAAGAGCGCTAGTGTCCTCATGATGGCCGAGCCGTTTTCCATTCGAGTCACCAAACGCTGAGTGTGATCAGGATTTTTGTGCTGTTAGTACATTTGTTTTTTCTTATTTTTTGTCCATCAACAAGTTTCAATTGACAATCATTAAAAATGGTTGTCTAATCACTGACTGCCTCAGCTTTCTGCTGTCGGCCTTTTTCTTTGTGACTAATAATACCCACACACAGTGACGACAAGGGAACTTCATATCAGTTGATTAGCTAAAGTGGTGCTTCAAGGCCAAACTTGTTGTCTGTGTGTGATTGCAAGCTGCGGCTGTTAGCTCATGTAAAAAAATACATGTTGGCATAAAATGTAACAGATGCCTTTTAATTACTTCAAATTGCTGCACTCTACTGATACGGAAAAAGTTTGTGTGTGTGTGCGTAAAAAAAGGGTGCTGAAACTCTCCAAAATCATTACCCCAAATCATCAGTGGTCATCTGGACGACATGAATTGCATGTCCATCCAGGTAAAGCACACTGGCGCGATTGAGATTGTTGATGTACTTGGAGCAGCTGAAGATGGTGATCACCTGGCCTCGGTGGTGAAAGAAGTAGCCTGAGGATTGCGTCAAAAGATAAACATGTAAACAGACATCAAACACACACAGACACACAGACACACAGACACACTTACCCTCATCGTACATTTCATGCGCTCGTACGACAAACTTGAGCGCATTTCGGCGGAGAAACTGCAGCACCGACTGTTCGGTGTACTGAAAGGCAGTGCCCCGTTTGGTGTTGCGCACAAATCCGGACGAGTCGCGGGCAAAGGAGCGGTCAAACTCGCTGAGGGCCTTGTACTCCGTCTCCGAGATGGGGTCATTCCAGAGGATCTCCCAGGCCTCGGAGGACTGCAGCTGCGGCAGGTCGAGGGGCGTGTGGATGGCTCGGATCTGCTGGAGGCTGTTCACGGAGGCGGGGATGCCGCCGTGGGCGCAGTAGACGACGCCATCGACGACGGCGGCCACCGGCAGCCGGTCAAAGGCGAGGTTAATCGACTCCCACAGGTCGGCGTTGAAGCGGGTGACGCACTCTCGGTGGAAGCTGAAGCTCTCCTGCGTCTCGCGAACCTAACAAACAACAGTCAGTGAATGATTGTGAGGAAATACAGTGAAAAACAACTTTTTACCTCATGATTCCCACGCAGCAGAAAAAAGTTGTTCGGCGCCAGAATCTTCAAGCAGAAGAGGAGGATGACGCACTCGACGCCGTAGGCGCCCCGGTCCACGTAGTCGCCCAGAAAGAGGTACCGACCGTGGTTGACGAAGGGCGACTGCCGCCAGAGGTTCGAGCCGTGACTCAGCAGGTCCTTTAGGTTCCCGTGAATGTCGCCCAGAACAAAGCACGGACTGGCGAGAGCGAGGCAGCGCGACTCCCCCGCAAAAAGCTCCTCCGCCTTGCTGACGACCATGTTCATGAAACGAATCGCCTCCGCCTTGCTCGCGTAAAAGAGGTTCTCCAGCTGGCGGGCCAGCTCCTGACTGCTGGTGCCGCCGNCAGAACAAAGCACGGACTGGCGAGGGCAAGGCAGCGCGACTCCCCGGCAAAGAGCTCCTCCGCCTTGCTGACGACCATGTTCATGAAACGAATCGCCTCCGCCTTGCTCGCGTAAAAGAGGTTCTCCAGCTGGCGGGCCAGCTCCTGACTGCTGGTGCCGCCGGTGCCACCGGCCAACGCTGCGGCGCCCTCCTCCGTGAACTTGAACATGCCGAAGCGCTTGATCTTGTCTACCAGGTCGTTGGCCACCACGTGGATGTCCGTCTCGTGGATGTCGGCGCGGAAGGCCGTCGGCGGGATGTGATTCGCGTCCGCCTCCAGCTTGCTGATGTCGCTGATCTCGCCGATGGCCGTCAGTGTGATCAGGTGCATCGAGATGGCGTAGCGGGTGCGGCTGCAGATGTTGCACCGACCGGTGGAGGGCTCCTCCAGACAACTGCTGCAACCTCCGCCAACGCCGGCGGCGGTTTCTGCTGTTGTTGACGCTGTTGTTGCTGTCACCTGTGCCGGTGGTGCCGACCAGTGAGCCTCCACCAGCTTCTGTGTGTTACTGGTGGTGGGGCTGCCCTCGAGGGTGAACTTCTTCACGGTCACCGCCCGAAGACTGAAGTCCTGGTGCAGTGGGCCGAGCAGGCTGTTGAGCTTGGAGAAGCGGCCGCCAGAGGAGCTGCTGTTGCTTTTTAACAGCGCCTGAAACTGCTCAAAGGTGATCGATGTAGGAAGGGAGGGAATTGACTTGATGGCCGCCGCCACGTTCCCCTCATTGTGCGACTTTCCCTCCAGGTCGAGCAGCATGTGGGCCAGGTCGGTAGAGGACAGTCGGTTTGAGCCAGTAGTGCTAATGTAGCTGCGGAAGATGACGCCTCGCTTCGCCTGGTCGCAAACGGCGTGGCCACAGTTCTGGCGGTCACTTTTGTGCCAGTTGGCCTTGCAAATGGCCAGACCGGGAAGGAGGTCGGCAAAGGAGAGAAATGACAATCGGTTCTGGTCAAAAATTCTAAAAGCAGAAAATATGATAACTTTCAAAAACTTTTAAAGGTTCGTTGGCTCACCGAAAGTACTTGGCCACCCTGGCAGCCGCCCCATCATCTGCATCAGCACTGCTCATCCCACCAACGGCCAACTTCTCTGCAAGAAAGCGACCCAGCGAGAACTGGCCCATGGCGATGGAAGGAAAGCAGTGGAAGACGTACTCATTGTAGAGGGAGAGCACCTCAGCACGNATCACTTTTGTGCCAGTTGGCCTTGCAAATGGCCAGACCGGGAAGGAGGTCGGCAAAGGAGAGAAACGACAGTCGGTTTTGGTCAAAAATTCTAAAAGCAGAAAATATGATAACTTTCAAAAACTTTCAGAAGTTAGTTGCCTCACCGAAAGTACTTGGCCACCCTGGCAGCCGCCCCATCATCGGCATCAGCACTGCCCATCCCGCCAATGGCCAACTTCTCCGCAAGAAAGCGACCCAGCGAGAACTGGCCCATGGCAACTGAGGGAAAGCAGTGGAAGACGTACTCATTGTAGAGGGAGAGCACCTCAGCACGGCCCAGTCCACAGCAGACCATCAGCTGGTGCATCCGCCCAGCCGACTCCACAAAAACCTCTGTCACGTCCTCCACAGCGTACTCGGCGCCAAAGCGGCCCAGGTTGTTCCACTTTCGCTGCGCCACCTTCGTCTGACTGGGGGCGCTTTTCTTGGGCGGTTGGCCACGACTGCCTCGACCACCACCACCACCACCACCGCTGGCACTCTTTGCCAGCCGACTCGCCTCCAGGTCCTCCAGGTACTGCTCGATGACGGTCCGAGGCTCGGGGCCGGCCAGCGAGGCGACCACCTGAGGCTCGCCCAGTTCACTGTTGGACAGCCAGAAGACCGGGTACAGCTTGCTTGCAACGGTCTGTTTGCCTGCGGCAGTCGTCTGCTGCTGGGGAGTTTGCTGATGCTGCGATTGCGCCAGGCAGATGCACTCGTGCGATGATTTGGACTTGGGGATGATCTCCACGCGGTGAAAGTATCGGGTAAGGTAGCGACCAGTTTTGGGTACCTGCAGACGGTCATGGGCGCAGAAGAGGGGGTTGCGAAATTTGACTGATGGAGGAGAAGAAGAAAGAGTGATGAGTCAGCATTAGATGGTCAGATCAACTTACATCGGTGCATGTCAATAAACTTGGGAATGAGCTCATTGAGCTTCGGCTCGAGAATGTCCTTGCGCATGTCGAAGGGCGTCCAGGGCAGCCAGTAGCCGTTGTTGCCGCCGGTCAGACTGTTCGGGCTGAGGTTGCTGTTGCTGCTGTTGCTCGCCTCCATCAGTCCGCTCATCTCAGTGACGGCTATCTTTCGGTGGGTGGGGCAGATCAGCGCCACGGCGCACACGTCCGTCGGACTGAGGTACTGGTCAGTGTCGCCCCTCACTGGCTCTGCCACTGGCGCCGACTTTGACTTGGAGGCAGCCGCCGCCTCAATCTCCTGCTGGCTGAAGCTGCTCGGCACGTAGCGAACTCCATTCAGACTGAGAGGGTCACTTTGAACGACAGCTTGGGGTGGTGGGGGTGGGGCTTGTGGTACAGCTGCTTTTGCAGTGGCTGGGGAAGCAGCAGCTGTCCCTGGGGCTGGCTTGGACGACTTTTCTTTCGCCTTGGTTGGGGGTATCTTCTCGTTGGCCATTGATGCTGCTGAAAGAGTAAATTGTCTGATAAACTGACGTGTGTGATATTGCAGTGCTTTTGAGTGCTTTTTATTTTTAAAGATGACTCGCAGACTTTTTAAATTCTAAAAATTTGTCATTTGTGGATTTTGTAAAAAAAGTAATTGTAATTATTTTCTAAAGACATTTACTCGTTTATTAGAAATTCACATGATCAACTAGAAAAGAAGCTAGTAAAAAAGGCGTATCACAACTGTATGCTGGCAAAGATCCACTTGAGGTAGTGGGCAATTGCCGTGTAGACGCCGGGAAACTTGGGCAGAGCGCAGCGGTAGCCGAAGGAGACCAGGCCAATCAGGTAGTTGGCGCCGTGGTAGTTGACCGTCAGTGGGCCTGAAAAGAGACAGATTTTAGAAATAAAAACAACAAACCTATTTTTCTGATACTAAACTCACCTCCGCTATCACCTTTGAGGAAATTGAAAAAAAGAGAAAACATTAGTTAAAGTTAGACGAAATCAAAACTGCTCACCTTGACAGGCGTCCTTGCCGCCCTCCTGCCATCCGGCGCAAATCAGCGACCGCCCGATGCCCTGTCTGAACTTCTTGCCGCTCTCCACCAGCCGCCGATAGTGTCGGTCACAGAATGAGCCATTGATGATCTTCACGTCCACCTCCTGCAGCACCGAGGCCTGGGCGCCGCCAAAGCTGAGGTCACCGTAGCCGACGACGTGCGCCATCAGGCCGACCATCAGCTCGTTGAGCATTCGCTTGCCGGGCAGGCAGACCGGCTGGACGAGGTCGCTGAAGATGATGGGCTGCTGGAGGAAGACCAGGGCAATGTCATTGTAGATGGCCGGCGGGTGGTACTCCTCGTGAATGCGCAACGCCGACACCTGCGACTCGGTGCCGTTGTACATGTGCACCGATTCGTAGCGAATGCTGTACTCTTTGGCGTTTCTAGAACAAAAAGGTTTCATTTTCGTGATAATAAATTGTTCAAGTAGCTCCTACCTGCTGGAACTAAAACAGTGGGCGGCAGTGAGGACAATTCGATCGGAGAGAATGGACCCGCCGCAGATGAACTGCGCTCGGAAGAAGATGGCCACCATCCAGGGGTACTCGCCCAGGCCGGCATTGCGACCCTTCACGATGCGAACCTCCTGCTGGCTGTGGGTTTCTCGCAGAATCTCCTTCTCCTTCTCCTCTTCTTCTTCTTCTTCCTCTTCCTCCTCCGCCGCCTCTTCATCCTTTTCAGTTCTCTCCAGCGGATTCATAGTCTTTGCCTTTCTCTGTTCCGCCTTGAATGAGCTTCTAAAAGGGGCGGCCATTACGACGCCACACCGGCCGTCCGGCTTCTTCGGCAGTCCACTGGCGTACAGCTCCGCCTTGGTCTTCGCCACCCACTGCTCAAACTGCAGCTTCAGCTGGTCAAGGGGCACTGTCACCCGAGGACAGCACAGTCTGGCCGGCGGGGTTCGCGTCAGCTGCTCAGTGTTGGTGGTGGTGGTCGATGTCCCTCTTTCACTCACCGCCGAATCCTCGCCATCCCACTCGCAGACGGTGAATCGGCGCTGTTCAGGCTGCTGCATGATGCAGTGCATTCGCGGCTGACAAACGCCGGCTGTGCCGTTCAGCGTCTCGCAGACCTCCAGCAGACCTTCTTCAAAGGAGACCTTTGCCGACTGTTGTTCAGGCATTTTGGCGGTCGTGTTGACTGTTGCCGAAGATGGAGTAGTAGTGGTAGTAGAGACTGGCTGAACGGCGCTCTCCTTCACCTTCTCCTCAGATTTTTCAGTCTCTACATTGATCTTCTTTTCAATGTCCGTGGTAAGCGACTGGAGGACGCTTTGCAGCGAGGAGAAGAAGGTGTTTGAGCTGCTTTGCTTCAATCTCACTTGTTCTGTTCCGTTTGTGGCTTTTGTTGTACTCTTGCTTGAATTGGTGGCCATGCGGTGGCGGGCCTGCATCGGAGCATCCATGTTGACAGGAGCATTTTTCCGGTGATTTGAGCTTGAAGCTGCTGCGGGCTGCTGTGGCTGTTGGTTGAAAATGTTAACTAGAGAATCGTTCGGACCAGGTTCGGTGGTGGTGGTGATGGTGGTGGTAACGGTTATTATTGTGGTGTTTGTGGCGATGGCTAGACGTAGTAAAAAGGTATTGTACTTTTACAAGGGAAAAAGGTTTCACCATTGTTCTCACCTAGTTGAAGGAAGTAAGTGAAGACCACAAAAATGGCAAAGGCTACTAATTTCATGGCTGACTATCAAGTGACTACCAACGGTTCAAGTGAATAGAAGAGAGAGAGAGAGAGAGAGAGAGCACACACACTGCTCCCAATGATGAGTTTGGGTAACTGACTGAAAAGTGACTAAACGGGGTTTTTAGGTGCTGGTTTCAAACGCTGCACAGATCTGTTTATAAACGGCGTTGAAACCTGAGAGTAGCAGTTCTCCTAAAAACAAACAAATGCCAAATATATGTAGATCGTGATGAGAGTCGATAGAGGGAAAATGTTTCTAAACAACGAACACACACACTTTTTCCGGCCAGGTGTTTTGCCTTTGCATCGGATTTCAGTGGTAAACTACGATGACTTTTTCACACTTCATCAAGGGTGAAAAGAGTGTGCACTATTTTAACAACAGGTATGCTAACAATGAGAAGGCTAAAAAATCCTCAAAAGCTTTTGAAAAACCAAATCCGTCTTTTCTTTTAATTGAGTTCCTCGGCCGAATCAAGTGGCTGTGCTTCAAAGGTGGTAAATGCAGTCGGCAGCGATGATGGCACAGTGAGGACGTGATTTATGTTGGCCATCACCTCCATCACTTTCGCCGATGTCGAGTCGAGGCTGCTGAGGCTTCCGTGGTGGCTGCTGCTCTCCTTGGTAGTGCTTTCATTTTTGTTTTGTTTACTCTCCAGCTCCAGCAACTGCTGCTCGTTTGGCGGTGATGGCTGCCGGTGATGTTCGCCAACTGAACCAGTGGAAGCTGCGGCAGTCTGCGGCCGTGCGAAAAGTGCTCCGGACGAATCGTGTTCCCCGTCAGCAGCATCAGCAGCAGCAGCAGCAGTGGCCAAAATCGGTGTTGACATTCGCAACTGCTGTTGCTGCTGTTGCTGTAGTTGTTCAGCAGCTGGTTCAGCATCGAAGCACAGAGTAGAGGTTGAGGAAAGGCTGCTTTTAGTTGACAAGGCTCCCGACACTGAAGATGGACGCCGGCGGTGTCTGAAGGAGCCGTGAGCAGGCCTTGGCGCTATGAGAACTTGCAGATTGCGGCCAGATCTGGCCAGCTGCTCCTCACGGGCAGCCACAGAGAGTGGCCGAAATGAGGTGACGCTGTTGTGGTGAGGCGGAAAAACAAAAAACAAAACAAAATAAACTTAGAAACGCTATTTTTGTTTCCTCAACAGCTTACTTTGGATTATCGTCCAGTGCACTCCCTCCGGCAGTGTCTCCTCTATTGGCTGATGCATGCAAATGATTCTCTCCCTGATTGTTGTTGTTGCTGTTACAGTCAAAGTCCCAGACGAGGTGAACGTTTCGATCACTCAGCTTCAAGCAGAGCTTCAGCACGAGGGCAAAGAGGACGATGCGCAGCAGACAGACGGACGCCCAGAAAGGCCGGAGGATGATGGTGAAGACGAGGACGATTATTTGAATGGCCAGCTGGGTGACGTAGGCCGTCAGCAGGCCCTCCCGCCCCCTGACCACTCCGTAGATGCCGACCGCCTGGGCAATGTACACGAGCATGTAGAGGAGCATATTGAGCTTGGCCAGTGTCGAGCGGCGGCTGTTGAGTCGCTGGACGTAGTAGTGCTCGCCGATCTCCTGCTCAGAGGCGTCCACGCTCAGGTCGATGCGCGTCTGCACCGTCGACCAGTCAATGTTGTCGAAGAAGTCAATCACCAGGGTGGTGTAGTTCAGCACCAGCATCAGCGTGTTCACAAGCACGTCGAGGGCCATTAGCAGCAGGGTGAGGCTGTTGCTGTTGGGGTCGTGCAGGAACTGGTGGATCCAGGATGGTGGTGCTGGTGGTGATGGTACTGACTGATCCTTCAATTGTGCTCCAGAGTTTTGCGGTGACACCGAGTGCTTCAACAGTCGTCTGAACCAGCTCCAGAGGGTGGTGGGAGTAGTGGTGGTGGTGGTGACAATGGTTTGTGGTGACCTGTGTCCATTCCCATCACCCTCCTCCTCCTCCCGGTAAAGCGTGACCACGGTCTTGGGCACCACCGGGTGGTGCTGCGTCTGTCGAATTCTGGGCACCATCGGTCGTCTGAGCTCTGGATCTGACTGCAGCAAGTGGCGGGGAATGGCCGGATCGGCCAGTCGCTGGTAGCTGACCCACATCATTCGGCTCGATTCGATCGTTATTAACGATTAGGTAAATGATTGTGTTCAGCTTCTTCTTCTTTCGTTGTTGGGTAACCAGTGTTAGTGCACTGCTGAGTCGCAAAAAAAATGTTTTTCTGTTTTTTTGTTGAGCCAAAAAAATTGCAAAATGAGTTTTTGCTTCTGCTCGCTATAAACAGGCAGCAATCAGAAAATGGAACCCAGCTTTCTGGAAACGAGAAAAGTTCAAGCTAAAGTTAATTTTTGTTGTTTATCACTTACAGTTATTGTGGCCAGTGTCCACACAAGTCCACATTCATTTCACCTTCACAGCCATTAGTGGTTAATTGAATTGCTCACTTTTCAAGCGAGATCATTGACGCTTGTTGTACAAAAAACAACACCGAACAGAAATAACAAAGCAACACAACCATTGGTTGTCAAGGTTTCTGGTCAGCATAACCGAAATCGATATACTTGTTCACACCTTTACCATTTCAAAAGAAATTTTTGCAAAAACAAAGTGCCACTTTGTTGCAATCGTTCAATTGAGATTGAAATAGGGCACTGAAATTTCATCTGATTCCAAAAACTAATACACAATTCACATGCAAAGAGTATTGGCTGTCAAATTGCATTTTGCCAGAAATTAGCCCTGGTTTCAATGAGAATCACATCAATTATAGAGTTTGAGAGTTGAAAACAGGTACATCGTTTTTATTACTTTATGGCCAGCGCGGCAGTGCACCGATTTCTGCTGTTTTTAGATAGGTGTGTGAGATAGGTTTTGGGATTACTCTTACAGCCACTCTTATCAGTCATTGAAGTGCACTCTTTAGAGTGTTAGAAAATTGAGTGAAGTCGACTGAAAAAGTCGGCATTTCAGTAATGGGGTTTCAAAGTATATAAGGGTGGAGTGTTTGAGCAGGAAGATCATCATCACTTGCAATCACAGCAAAAATTGAAGCAAACCAAAATGAAGTTTCTCATCTCCCTTCTCTGCCTTGCCACTGTCGTCGTGGCAGGCCCTCTGAACAACAACAACCGCAACAACTCTGAAGGCCTTTTTGAGCCATTTAGCTCCAACTCCGACTCTGGCTTCATCATCGGCGGTGTGCCCGCCCAGGACGGCCAACTGCCCTGGCAGGTGTCCGTTCAGCGAGGCTCATTTCACTTCTGCGGCGGCAGCATCATCTCCCCACACTACGTCCTCTCGGCGGCCCACTGCTTCCGCGGCCTTTCCCCCACGCAGATTCAAGTTCGCTACAACACACTGCGCTCCAACTCAGGCGGACTGGTGGCCAAGGTGGTGGAGATCATCAGCCACAAGGACTACTACGTCGGACCGCAGTACAACAATGACATTGCCCTGCTCAAGCTGGCCACCCCGCTGGTGCTGGGCAGCGCCAATGCGCAGGCCATTCCGGTGGCCAGCGCCGGGGATGACCCTTCTTCGGGCAATTTGCTCCTCTCTGGTTGGGGCGATGTGGTGGAGGGCGCCAACAAGGGCACTACCGTTCTGCAGACGGTGCAGGTGCCGCTGATCACTCGGGAGAGCTGTTCGGAGCAGTACAAAGGCACCTTTGTCATTAATGAAAACATGTTCTGCGCTGGCTTCCCTTCTGGTGGAAAAGATACTTGCCAAGGTGAGTTTTGCTACTAACTATTCAGCTCTAAAGATTTGTTTCTACCAACTTTTTTTTCATCAATGCAGGTGATAGCGGAGGTAAGTGACGGCTGTTTTAGAAAACCTTTGCAAAAAGAGTCATATGTTTTAACTTCCTTTTCACTACAGGACCAGCCGTCCTCAATGGAAAACTGGTGGGCATTGTCTCTTTTGGCTACGGCTGCGCTCGAGCTGGTAAACCGGGAGTGTACACTCGCCTGGGCAACTACATTGACTGGATGAAGGAGAAGGGCGTCTCTTTTTAGACTTCATCTGACCGAAACTACCATGACAGCAAACCTTGACTACACATATCACTTTTCTTGCAATATTTATTTTTTAGCAACAAATAAAAGGGGGCTTTAGATTCAGCACACACTTTTCCTGTTTAATTTCTGTTTGCGCATCTGGGCATCTGAACAGTGTAGTGCGTTCGGCAAAGTGCAAAAAGCTTAATAATGCACTGGTGGAGTACAAGGGCAAAATGCTGGACGAGGAAGAATGCTTTATCGCTTTGTACTAGCTCTCTGTGTGTGTGCTCCACTTCAAACTGAGTGCTTCTTGCGGTGAACATCTTAAGAAGAAGGGAAAGAAGAACATTGTCTATAAATCAACCTAAATATTAATAAAATAAACACACACATTTTTGCAAACATGCACGGCAAGTGCTGCACTTCAGAAGCCACAGTCGAGAGACAATTGCCTCGTTGTCTTACTCGCCGCCTTACTCTTCTTTCCAATTGACCAATCAATCAATCAATGGAGGCAGTAAGCACCAGTTAGATAAGGTAAGTCGATTATGACGCAATTCTGTGAATTGGGCTCACCGGTTTGGACCACCAGTGAGGACGGAAAGTGCCGCACACCAGTTCACAATTGCCAAATGTAACGCAGGCATTCAATTTAAAGGAAGTTGCCGGCAGCAGAAGGTGAGCTTGCAACAGTGCAACAACAAACTATTTGTTTGGGTCATATCTGGTCAGTGGGAATTCTATAAATTGCCAGGCTGTTTGACGCCTACTCAAACTGTTTGAGCGTTTCTAAAAATATTTTTGAGTTTTTGAGGCAAAACTATTGTTTCGTTTAAATAATATTTTTGTTAAATGTAGGTCAGGCAAAATAAGTCACAAAATAATTGTACGTTTTCAATGTAATTTTAGATATTGTAAACATATTATTTAAATGGTGTGTTTTATTGATTGGCACAGGTTAAAAAAAGAAAAAAGTGAATCAATAGGTAGTTGAACTGTTGCTGTCAAATTGATTGCAGTTATATTTGCCATTTGCTTCCAAGACGACCACATGGCAAGTCAGCAAAAGCTAAAATCGATTGAAACAAAATGTAGATTTGATACAATTTTTAACCTGGTTTAGTGATAATTACCACTTTTCTTGCGTGCGTGCACTGGGCGAAACGTCACTTTTCATGTTGTCAGTTATTAAAAAATGCAACAATATTTTAATGAGAAAAGCTTGTAAAAAGACTGGCAGGTTTTATGATAAATGGGTAGGGTGTTAGTGCAAAAGGGGAGCAACTTTTTGTCTTTGTAGAATGTTAAAGCATAAAAAAATGTTTTAAAATGCAATCGATATCAAGGTAGATGTGTTGACTGTGTTTATGCTTGTGTGTGTGAGTGTGTGTGTTTGAACACATTTCGCAGCCATTTTCTCTCTGTTGACAGTAATTAATCGTTGTCGAACCAAGTCTGACCGAGAAAATGATGATTGATCTGTCTGTGTGAACAGAGGGTGACAAAACACTCTACTGCTGACGTCTGTGTGCTTATCCGCCAGATGAGATGGCCAAAATAGCCTAATTCCGGATAATTCACAACCATTTTGTCCGCCTGACACATTTTATATTCTCTTTTGTTGCCTACACTTTCACCATATTTTGAAATGAAAAACGAGTGCAGCAAATACACTTAAGCGCGCTGAAAAACCTTAATGAAATTTACACAAAATTCGCATTACTCTTCAGAGAGGCAAACTCAAGAGAAGGAGGGCTGCACCTTTTTGAATTTCAAATGAAAAATAAATTGAAAAAAGTATATAAAAATTGTAAAGTGCTCATGATCCCGTTTTGTATACAAATATTATTTATTGTTGTGAAAAAAAAGGCAGACATAGAAAAGCAGTTATGCAAGTTGCCATTAACAATTGTTTTTGCCGCCAATAGGTCAGGAGGACAGGGGCAAAGGGGGCGGCCAAAGTCGTCGTCGCAGTGGTACAAAGGTTTCAAGGGGACTACCTATCCAAAAGTGGCCATTATGTCTACCAGCTCTGAAATGTATGTCAAGTTCCGATGATATATGTCGTCCATTTGATGAGGGGCTTCGCTCACCCGCCGCCGCCACCGCCACAACACTGACAGCCTCGTCTCTGGCAACTGTCCGTCAGTGGTCGTTTTCGTAGTAGTCGTAGTAGTCGTAGTTCAGTGTATCCATCAGTGTGACACATTTTTGCACTCACCCTCTCTCACAAACTCGCCTGTCCGTCAATTGATTACTCCGTTTGTTGGACATCAGACGAGTGTCGGTCAGTGCTGTCCGTCAGGAAAGTGTCACGCAACAGCCGAGCAGGCACCCTCTTTTTTCTCCTCCTTCTTCTCCTCTTTTTCTTTCCCTTTTTCCTAGCCTTTTTCCCAAAATATTCCATGCCATTATTAGAAATGGGAGACAAAGGCCCACTCTGGGGGTGGTGGTGCTTTACCACTTCTACTACCATCATCATAGCCACCACCACCATCATCATCATCCACTGACCAATGCAAAAACACTTGACGGCAAATTTTTCCATTCCGGTCTTATTGAGTGGCCAGACAATTTGCACAAACTTTACATTATCGGGAAGGAGGGAAGGGAAAGTGATGAGTTTGAAGCAGAACAAAGAATAGTTATCGGGGCACTCTTTCTCTCGGTGCACAGACAAACAAATTCGGAGAAAGAGTGGAGAAGGGAGAAACAGAAAGAAACAGAAGTGGAACAAAATGTGAAAGTGAGTGTGTGTGTGTGAGCGGACCGGCCAATACCGAACAATTGACCCTCTTTTTCTCGCCCTTTGCTCGACACATTTGCACTGCGCCAAACACACATTCACATACTTTCTTGCAGGTACACACGTTTTGTCGTGCTGTCTTTGAACACGCAATCATCGAGTGATCTCGCATTGAAAGTTAATGATGATGGTAATGATGATGATGATAAAAATGATTACATTTGAGACTGAAGAAGGAAGGAAGAGGAAGGAGACCGGGAACAGCAGCAGCAGTTTACCACAGGTCGTGCCCGGGTTTGGAATTGCTTGAGCGGGGTAAGAAGAGAAGAAAGGGGAGCGCATCTCATCGCCTTCAATCGCGAGGTTCCTTTTCAATTTAGAGAAACAAAAGCTGCCCTTAACTTTCTTCTGTCTCCTCTTTCTCCTCTTTAGTTCTCCCATCAGTCAAGAGGACTAAACTTGAAGTAGAAGAGTATGGCCCAGTAGACGAGCCCAAAGAGGACAAAGGCCGCGGGAAAGATGAACCGCGAGACGTAGTCGACGTAGCTGAGACCCGAAGGGCTGCGCTCCACATGGCTCATTCGACTCGAGGCCTGGCGACGCAGCGGCGGCCGCCGCAGTGAGCTGAAGCGACTCGACTTGGCGCTGGACTTGCCGCTGTTTCCAAAGTTGTTGTTGTTGTTTGGGTCAGGTGTGCCCTCGTGTGCACCACCGCGGTGGGAGCGGAACTTGCGTCGTTTGCTGCTGCCCTTTCCATTACCTCCACCAGACTGACTGAGGCTATCATCCACTGCTCCCGCAGGAACAACACTGTTGGGCATTGTCTGTGAACGGTGATCCTGCTCCAGCATCTGCTCTTTCACCAGCAGCTGGTACTCCTCGATGGCCAGCTCCACCCGACTGCGGGCAATCTCCAGCTGATGGTCAATGTGCTGCTGCTGATGGTGGTGATGATGGTGGTGATGGTGTGGTTGATGCGGCGGCTGATGATGAAGAGCCGGTGAGGCAGAGCTGCTGAGCATGTAATCGCGTTTCGGTGAGCGCCGACTTGAAGAGGTCACCTCTTCGTCGGTGGTATGACCTCCACCACCATTTCCGCCTGCGTTTCCACTACCGAGAAGTTTCTCCTCTTCCTCGATCACCTGATTCGGCTGTGGAGAAGGTGACTGGGTGACGGGATCCAGTGAGTTATCTAAAAAAACAGATTTAGATTGATTAAAAGTGTTTACAAATGGCCAACTGACCTTTAGCGACGACCAGCTCATGGGACATTGTTCCCGACTCAAGGTCATCGAGGTTGTTGTTATTGTTATTATTGTGCGTAGTAAGGCCCTTGTTGGCGTTGGCATTGAACAGATTATCACTGCTGCCCTCAAAGTTGACCACCGGTGTGTGCGCCGTCGACTGCTGCTGCTGCTGATTCACCGCCAGATTGGAGCCATTCCGACGATTTCGAAGACTGTTTCGGAGAATGTTGGAGCGAATGGGCCCCACTGCGGCAAAGAAGGGATCCCCATCTACCTTACTGTAGCTCAGATTGTCACCGGCACTGGTCTGCCCGGACAGCGGCTTGTGACCAGCGGCGTTGCCCAGCTGAAGGTGGTGGTGGTGGTGCGGATTGTAGAAGGGATGCTGGGCCACCGAGGACGGCCACAGGGACAGCGGCGGCGTCTCCATACCGTCCAGGTCCTCGTTGAAGTGTGAGATGGTGTAGGCGACGGCGTACTCCATCAGCGCGAGGAAGACCATGATGAGGCAGACAAAGAGCCAGATGTCGACGGCGGTCACGTGGTTGCCCGCCTTCTCGTAGTTGGTGAGAATCTGCGTCATGATGGTCAGCGTGGACATGATGCCCAGCGACATGCGCCCGGGCACCGCCTCCACGTCGAACCAGAACTGCAGCCAGCTGAGGGTGACCACCAGTGAGGAGGGAATGTACACGGTGAGCAGCGAGTGGATCATCCGCCGCTCAAAGATGAACTCCTGCGCCAGCATCGAGTAGTTCTCATTCAGCCAGGGGTGGTTCTGCCGGACGGCGTCGCCCAGGCGAATGTCAAAGAGAGAAGGGGTGAAGTCCTTTGCGTGGATGACGCACTTCTTGTCCTTCAGGTCGAGCAGGTCCTGGCGAGGGCTGCCGGCGTCGTTCAACCAGCGAAGGTCTACCTTGTGCACTGGGTCGGTGACTGGTGGGGAAACCAATTAAATGAAATAGAATTGATCATTGGGTCATAATGAACACAATTCAGTATGTTACTTACAAGTTCTCAGC